TCAAAGACTTAAACATCATGAGTGGAACTTCCCTTTCTAAATGTGAAATCTGCATCTTAGTCCTTGTTAAAGGAGATTTCTAGAAACTTCAGGCACAATATAATGTTCAATATTCCAAATTGAAAAGAAATAGAGTGTAGCTCATAGGCAATGAAAAATGACAGGTTGTTTATCTATGCAGTGTGCATAAAAAGCCCAGTAGAGTTTTCCTAAGTGAGGCTACAAATCTTGTATGGCACTGAGCCACAAAACAATAATAGTAAACCCTACAGTAGTGAAAAAATACACATATAAATAGTGAAGAGATCCAGGATACTGGATTTAGAATGTAAAGAGATTAGTCTAAATGCACTGAATCAGATCACCAGATTACCAATTTTTAAAACTGATACTATGAATAAGCAACGGTTCAGTGGGCTAGGTCAATCTGTTTGAAAAATGAGATTTAAAATCCACTCCTAGAAAAGCCATTTTAAGAATTTTCCTAATTCATCAATTCAAATGAAATTAAATTATTATTTAAAGTCACCTTTTATTAACATTTCTTGATATTATGTATAAGTAGAAAGGAGGAATGTCTTCAAAGTCTCCATTTCTTTGTCTTATCTTAAACTAATGCATGCCATCTTCTTTGTCTTTCCCTTCTTACAGAGCATAGTCTCTTCACTAACTCTTAAGTTTAAATGTAGCACTTAAGTTTGTCATAAAAGTTTGTTCAGAAAATCTTCTTTGTACATTACTGGTTTAAAATAATCATGTTTGATCATTAGCATAATAAAAGATTAGTATCTAATCAGATGGAATCTGTTTTGAATTGCCACAGCTAGTCTCTTACAATACATGGCTAAGAGTAAGCAATTCGAGCATAAATCAGATAATTTTTTCAGCATCTCTGAAATAGATGAGCTGGAATAAATTCTGGTGGGTTAATACGATTTATGTTAAAATAGTCTTTAATTTCTAGCTACCTGTATCTTTCCTAATATCTAACTTCAATGGAAGGAAATATTTATAAAATATTCCATTTTAAATAATTGTATTAAGAAAAAATAATAATTTTTTACTGAAAATTAAAATAGGTCATTGTGCTAGTATAATTTTTATTAACATTTTACTTTCTAAGGGCTTTTCTTCAAAGTATCAATAAAATGTCTTGTAATGTATTTATCTTTAAACGTTTTCCAGTCTGCCAAAGCTCTGGGTTGTGATGTTGCAGTTTTAAAGAGATTATGACTCCATGAAAAGCAAATTTTTAAGGAACAATTTTCTTTCATGGCATACAGATGTAGGTATGTAAGCCCAAGGCCTTCAAAAACATACTGTAGCTCTTTGTAGAGGGAACTCTGATGCATTTTGGATGTTAGCATGAATTTCATAGATGAGTGAATGTAACTGACTTCAGCAATTCAGACATTAATGTTCTATAAAATATCTTTTTCTACAGATTTTTTTTTTCCAGCTGTACTACGTGATACTTAATTTTGAGTAGGTCTGAAACGCTCTAACTGGTATCTTCCACAGTGTCCAAAAGCAGCAGCCTGCCGTTTCCTAGACAACCAATGTTTTGGTAAAGCATTTTGGCTACTTGGGTAGCTTGATGCCTTGAACACTGCAGTCTAAATATCATTCAAAGCATTTTTTGTAAAAAGGGACCTAACTAAGTGTGTTTTATTTTTAAAGCTGCCTACCTCTGCAGCACCACGAAGTCATCATGCCAACCCTGCTGTTATGGGGAGAAAGAGATGCATTTATGGAAGTTGAGATGGCAGAAATTACACGGATTTATGTCAAAAATCATTTCAGATTAACTATTTTGTCTGAAGCCAGTCATTGGCTCCAGCAGGATCAACCTGACATAGTGAACAAGTTGATATGGACCTTTCTAAAGGAGGAGACAACAAGAAAAAGAGAGTGACTGTTTGTACATGTTTTAAGGGGTCTACATAAAAGCTCTTCAGATTTAAAAACTAATTGTTATCAGGGCCATATTTCCAGCCTGCCTTCTATTTTGAGCTCTGTTAGAGAAAAGTGTTTTCAGTGTACTGTACATTTGGGCACCAATGTTACTGCTAAAAGAAGAAGTGAGTATGAGAATATGTGATACCAACATTGGTTTTACCTGTATACTTGTATTTGCACATAAAAACACCTGCCTTAAGATATATATGTATTTGTACAGAAAGAAAATCATGGAAAGTTGCTTGATTTTGTTTTCTCCCTTGCTTTACAGTTTTAATGTGTGGTGCCTTTTACAAATTTATAATGAAACAGAGTGGTGCCATACTGAAGGAAGTCATGAGTTTTCATTCTAGATTGACCTGAATTTTTTTAATGTATTTTACCATTATACAGTAACTAACTCTTTTTATTATCTATATTTTAGCACACTGAATGATTGAAAATTTTCTGGGCACATTTCTAGTCTTCAAGTGAATAATGATCTTGTTGTATTGTTGAATGCAGCTGCTTTGTGCGATGTGTTTTTCTTTCTTGACTAAAAAATGGGAAACCTGTACACTCAACATGTCTGAACAAGAAGAATGGAAAATTAAGATAAAACATGTATCAAATCCACCTCTGTCTAATAAAATGCAACTTACGCTACTCCCTTCATCTGACTTCCTATGGGGAGAGTTGTGACTGAAGCTAAGAATTGGGTTTGAATCTGAAGCATCTGTCCACTGTGCGGCCCTCCTCATGCAAACCACGATTGTTGTGGTTTCTTGGAAATAATGCCTCATTGTTGGCATTATCCTTCCTATGTTAGCAACTACTGTTCTTGTCTCCAAAAACTGCTGCCAAGTTCCTGTGTTTATAGGAGGAAGAGAGACAGTGATTATGGAAACAGAGGGTAGAATTAACTTGCAGTGTGATGGCAGGGGAGAAGAAAAGTGGATGCTGACGACAAAGAATAAAGCAGCACGAAACACAAGTCCCCAGAAGAGGTGAGTCACCTGCCTGCTCCCTTTCCAAGGCTCCCTCTCCACCCGCAGAGCCAGCGCCGTGCCCGGGGAACAGGAACGGGTCAGCAAGGACCATCAGAGGAGGCATCGCAGCCAGGTGGGCCCAAACCAACTGTCCACACCAAGAGCAGAAGACAGCTGACAGTTACTGGGGGGTCCCCACAAGTCCCACGCTCCCGTGTGTGTCCTCCCTTTCGAGCCACGCGCTCTGGCACACAGGTGCTTGGTGCAGCCCCAGCCCCAGCTGGCATCTCACTCCAGGCAATCCTCAGAGGAGGAGGATCCGGGGGGCAGGAAGGGGAATGAGCTCGTGGCTGGCACTCTGCTTCCGTGCCTGCAGGGCACAAACTGAGTTGTCCCCTCAGAACTGAGATAATGGCATTGATAATTGCCTTTTCTGTCATCCATGGCGGGTACCCGCCTTCCAAGGGTGTTTGTCCCCTGAATATTTTTAGCATTTATCAACCAAAATGGTTACATGCATGTTTTACTTAGACTATAAGGTCGGAAAGGCTCTTCCCTGTCTCAGAAGGGTGTTGTAAGGTGACTTCTGTCATCTTCGCAGCACTTCAGCTTCTGGGCGGGAAAGACGCTGCTGGGGAGTACGGCGTTACCTCAGGAGCACCTGCTGCCAGGGGCCTGCTGCCACCGGCCCACACGGAGTTGCCCACCGGAGCTCCGGCTCCTGCTGCTCCCTGTGCGCAGCGCAGCCGGTGGGCGCGTAACGGGCGGCAGTCGAAGGCCGGGGCCTTTTCGGGAGGAGAGGCAGCGACCGACGGGCCTTCGCCAGGGGCCGGGGCGGCGGCACCGGGGCTGGGCCGGGGCGGCGCGCGGCCGGCAGGGGGCGCGCGCCC